TATGGTCAGATTGATACATCAAGGATAGTTGAGCCTCTGAATGAGTCCACTACAATAGGCAGACACATAACCACTAGGGTCGGAAGACAAGTAAAAGTTCCTCATCGACTGAATCTCTGAACTGATTACAGAATATGTTGCAATTTCCTAAAATTGCAAGGTGGGAGTATGTTCAGGAACGTGCACGAACTCAATTAATACACAATAATTTAATATGTTCATTGTAATGTAGATTTTTTGTGGCAACAGTGATGTTTTGTTTACATATGCTTCAGCGTGATAACGCACAGAATGTTCCTTTTCTGATATGTTTGGAATGCTAAATAAATAAGTTCGTTGTTAATTAAAAATGTTTCTCTGCGAAATACATTTCCATTCTTAGGAGTTATTAAAATAAGTTAAGAAATTGATTAATTTCAAACAAACATTGTACCATATCGTGTTGTAATATTAATTTCTCTCAGTAAATGTGATGTGAGAAGCGTATGGTATTTTGTTGTGAATTACCTATAAGATACATTGACTGTGTGTATATGTGGGGAAAGGCAACGACCATAGTTGATAACACACATTTATTACTATTTACAAATATAGATTACATTAGGATTGCAATTAATGAAAATGGTATACGAGCGATCGAGCAACGTCTGCTCCGCTCGCCAGCTAATCCTCGTCTTCTTCCGAAGGCGGGAAACACCTGCTGACGCAATGCATACGTCATACAGTAGGGGATTAGGGAATATCATGACATGACATTTCCCACATTCGGCCATCATGACCGTACAGGCGACCTCACCTGAAGCACCTCTATATCGTTGGAAAAAGCGCGGACTGAATAGGAATCATTGCCTGAAAAGTTTCTGCAAATGTTTGAAAGATCTCTCAAAACAAACCAAAAGTCATGACTCATCTCGCGAATCTCGGTGCTGGCCGTCAAAACATCAGAGCGACTCGAATTCAAATTTATTACTTCTGTGTCAGAAGAAAAAACGCGATTTGGGCTTGGCGCCGTGGAGGGAGGGGAAGGGGGAACAGAGAACTTAGACCTACAGGCGTCAGTGCACTGTTAGTGTTTGAAATTGAATGATCGTCATCGGATAAAAAACTAACATCTAGAGAATTGTGAAAAATCCGTCAGATTAGTGAGCTCTTAAAAATTTTTTTCACATAAAACATCTTTATTAGTGGAAGCTTCCAAGTGCAATAAATTAGCCTACCGATATAAAATCTGATAAAGAAAAATCTTTTAATAGAAGTTCTTTATGTTTTGCCAAATCGAAACTGTCCGGGAATGCGGCAAAATTTTCGCATTCTCTTTCGCGAAGAATGATCAAAATCGGAAATATCCGAGCACGGTATTAAATAATTTAATAACTCGTGCTGTGCCATATTTAGGAGAATTCGCTATCAATGGGATATTCACCTAATTTTAGGGCCATAAGTTCTTAGGGCCATAAACAGTAAAATAGGGCAATAATATGAATATGAAATAGGGTAGGTATGAATGAGAATTTAACAGTATAAACACAGTTTAAAATCGTAATACTAATAAATTATGAACGAATCAGAGAAAAATGGGTCTACCTAACTTCGAGGCAGTTCCTTATAATCCAATATATTATCTTGGACCAATCCGAATGTAATCCAAAATCGAATTTTGGATTTAACGTCCAAAATTCAGAAGAATGGTCAAGGTATCATGGTAAACATCACACATGTCGTCCAGCTCGAAGAATATAAATCGTCATAAAGGCACGTCTTCATTCACATACATCGTCTAGCTTGAAGAATATATTAAATCGTCGTAAAGGCACGTCTTCATTCACATACTTCGTCCGGCTTAAAGAAGAATATTAATTTCGTCATAAAGGCATGTCTTGCCTTTGTTAGCTTTCTGAACGTCTTTAGTAATTGCTGGTGTCTAGGGTTCGATTATCACACATGCACAAAAGGCACGGTCGAGCCCCCAAAATGTGGGGAAAGGCAACGACCATAGTTAACACACATTTATTACTATTTACAAATATAGATTACATTAGGATTACAATTAATGAAAATGGTATACGAGCGATCGAGCGACGGTCTGCTCCGCTCGCCAGCTAATCCTCGTCTTCTTCCGAAGGCGGGAAACACCTGCTGACGCAATGCATACGTCATACAGTAGGGGATTAGGGAATATCATGACATGACATTTCCCACATATATATGTGATTTATATTACTTTACGTGGTTGCTACTTTGGTAGACGGTTACACGGCTTTTATTACTTTACGTGGTGCTACTTTGGTAGACGGTTACACGGATTTTGGCAAAATTATTTTTGGCGAGCAATACGACTTATGGTAAACTCATTGGAGAAGTTATTTATGGTAACCAATAATTTTATTTAAAAAATAATGCGTTTTATTATTATGCATAAATTCCGTGTTTTAAATATTATTTATGGCTTCTAAATATTAAAAATCAATTTAATTTTGCATTTTTATTTGAAATAAAAATTTTATTGTTTATGGTATTTTATATAATTTTATTTTGTGGATGATGTACTCAATGACGTCACCTTACTTTAAAAGTAATTGGTTTTAATATCTATAAATTTAATCTAATGTTTTAAACATTGTTTTTTGCTGTGAAATATTAAAATACAATTTAATTTTGCATTTTTTAAATGATTTTATTATGCATGATTACTTAAATAATTTTAATTCTATGCGTGATGTAATCATTTCCTTGATTGGTTACTGAATACCGCGCCATCTCTTCGAATTCCTCAGATTTCAAAGTGAATGGATATGTTCGTTTCGAAGATGAATGTTGTTATTGGTAATTACCAAGAATTATTGGTATCGGAATAAAAAAATTGTCCTTTGAGACCTTATTTTGGCCAACCTGGCTTTCCTAATAAACGATTTATTTATAAATTGTTACAAGGGTCAGAGGAAATAGAGAAAATTTATTTTAAATTTTTGGAGGAAACCTCGCTAATTGCTTCTTCAAGGAAGTGCGAGAGATGTGGATCACAGATAAAGATCGTTAAAGGAGCCTATTCTGAGGACGGCCGTATATGGTATTGTGGTCACGGTGGTAGAAATAACCGCTGTAACGGTAACAAAAAAGTATTAGACGTTCATCCTTTTTTTACCAGCAATTCTTTTTCATTGATATCGAAATTATGATTCCCTTTTTTTTTTTTTTTTTTTTTTTTTTTTTTTTGTGTGTGTGTGTGTGTGTGTGTGTGGTAGTTATCAATATACGACAGGTAAAATACTCAAAAAAAAAGTGTAAGTACATATTTTTCTTTTTACTTTATAATTGTATACTTCAATTTTTATTAAGAAATTAATATACTGTTTTCAAAAATTCCTGAAATAGTTGTTGCCACATATGTTTTAATGTTAAATAATTATATAGTATAAAACTTATTTTAAAGTCATATTTAAAATATGCATATTTGAATTTAAGTAATATTTTAATTCTTATAAACGTTGGTATGATGTTAATTCGATTACACGTTGGCGCGATATTTTTATAGCGGTGTTTTTATTCTATTTCTTTGTAATATGAAAGTAATAATTTAACGGTACTTTTCCGTTTTACCGGCGCAAATCTCGCGCAAATCAAGCAGATTTTATTAACATATAGTATACACATAAAAAATATTAAAAAATGATAGTTCTAAGAATTTTTTATTTTGAAGGCATAAAAATTTTAATAACGTTTAAAATTTTGTAAAAACCCAATAAATAAAGACAATAAATTTATAAAAAGACATTTAATTTAAGAATTTACTATGCTATCATGGTTCAATATCCTGATTCGCCGGTTCATATCACGTGACCCCCAAGTGATCTCATCTCACATAAACGCTACAAAAATCTAATTCTCTCGGTAATTATCTACATTAATTTTAAGTTAAATCTTAATTTGGAATACAAGTTTAAATGCAAGAATTACTTAAATTCAATCGAATAGCTTACTCATAAATTATGTAAAACCGCAGTGCTTTACTTCGCTAGTGCATTTTCATTAGGATTGATGAATTTAACCCTTGACTTTGCCTTTTCTATATTTTCGGCTTCGGCTGAGCGGTGTGATTACATTCTTGACTTAATTACCGCGAATGGCCTTAGGACATAAAATTGAACTACCTGGTAAAAGTTCTATGTAATTGTATGCCAGTATTGAAAGAAACAATCAATCTGATAAGAAATGGCTGCGACTTGCTTTGAAAATGAGGCGTAAAAGGTTACCAGCGAGGATATTCCGTTTGCTGTCAGTTGTACCATTATTGGTGAATTTATCGTCTGCGCCGGCAAAACGGAAAAGTACCAATTTAACATTACTTTAGTATTTTATACTCTTAGTAAATGTATTTAGTATTTACATTTGCCAGTTATCTTAAAAAACAACGTTTTCATCAAAAAATGAAACCTTTTTTTTTTTTTTTTTTTTTTTTTTTTTTTTTTTTTAAGTTTCGAATACTTTACTATGCGTAAAATGTGTGAAAACAGCGTTTTTTAAGATGGCTGACGATTGTAAAAATCGCGCCAACAATTGCGCCAGTGTAAATCGCCAAAAATCCGTGCAACCGTCTACCAAAGTAGCACCCTTTACGTTGAATTATCTTCCAGATGCAACACAGTTTATAGTAATTAAAATAATTCCTCTTGAAAGACAGTAACTGTGGAGTAAAATTAAATAATTATGCTTTCTTTCGGCGCAAAATATTAGAAAGCGAAATTATAAATATTTCAATGTATTTTATAAATCCTCAATTATGCATAAAATACACGACTGTGGTTTTCAGATGAGCGTCACATCATCTTATATTCACTCCTTTATTGTAACTGCTAACTATAGTGTACTATAAGGAAGTTTTTTCTGAGCATTTATATTAAACACAGAAGCAATATGCGCATAATTAAATGTATCTCAACTTTCTTATTAAAAACAATGCTAGTTCTATAATTGTTTTTTAAGGCGAGTCTGATTTCTTTCAGAATGGACGGACACCACTACATGTTGCTGGCCAGCAAAAGAATCAATACGTGTACACCATATTAACTGCTGCAGGAGCGGATCCCATGATCCTTGATCAAGTTAGTCATGAATATTCCCTATTTTCAATTAATTCACGCTTCTATAAAGCAAAAACAAAAAATATGCGTTTAAGTCTAAGTTTAGCTCCTTATTGCCTTAATTTATGAATTCAAATTGCATCTTTAATACATCTTATACGAAATAGTTGAATTTTTAATAGGAATTTTTCCTTGGTATATTTTTATTTTGTGTAATTAAACCTTATTCGTAAGTGTGATCCAGAAGTTCGAAAACATATTTTAAAAGGAGGCCAGGCATACAAGAAGCAAATAATTTATTTTTGCATTTGAACATGTGGCCATAAACGCAGCTTAAGTATGCTGTAAAGACTGTTGAGAGAAACTGACGCTGGGCAGCGTACATCGTTCTTATCCGAGGCGTTGATTTTGCTAGACGGAAAATCTCTTTTTGGTTTCCACACGACCAGACTTATCTTTCCCTCATTTCTTCTTTTATGGAGACCACAAAAGGCGAGACCTCACATAACTGCCCGTTTAAGTAGCTACAATGCTAGATTTTTTTAGTTTTTTTAGTTTTTAGTTTTTAGATTTTTTAGCTTTTGAAGCATTTAGCAGGAAAATTTTGAAATTCGCTTTTGACAGAGAAAAAACAGTTTTTAAAATTAATTTAGTATTTTTAGCACTTGAACCACTGCTAATAGCTAATGTTTGAGAATGAAAGTTCTTACCTAATGATTAACGTTTTGTCTGGTTAACAGTAATGCCGACAGTGTTACATATAAAAGTTCATTTATCTATAGTACTTAGTTTTTGTCTGGTTACGTAGATTTTATGCATAAATCAGTTATTTAGATTTTTTTTATTTAATGAAAAATACTTTTTAGACGTCAGGAACATCGCTAACTTTCTAGTTGGTTATTTGCTCATGGCAAGGCGATTAGGCCTAATAATCAGTAAATTGAAATTAATAAATTGTTAAGCGACGTCTGCAAATTAGTGTTTCAAATATTATGCAGTTTTTTGCTCTTCTTTGAAATGGGGCAAATAAAAGCTGTACTGGCACAGATTTTGAAAAGGAGGACTTAAGATGCTCATTAAATTACTAAAATGTTTAATGTTTTAATAATTAAATGTTTGTAGGAAGTACCTGCTGATCCTTTTAAACACGGTCCAGACTCTTTAGATGTAATACAAAGAAATCCAAATATCCTTTCCATCCCAGCTGTTCTTGTTACTTGTATTGCAAAACAGTAACTGCAGCGTAAGCAAGGATCAGTGCTTGAATTCAAGAAGATTAGATTTTTGTTCTAACCATATTGTTTGAAACTAATTGAGCAATGTGCGTTTACTATCAATCATCCTTTAAATGCTTTGAATACTGATCAGATACTGGTATTACGTCCAAAGTAAAGCTGAGTCATATTATAGCTGACAATGGTTGATCTGACTCCTTGCATTTGAATGAATCATCAGAGAACAGCATTTAATATAAAAATGTATTTTATTTTCCCCCACAGAAACAAGATTCGTACGGGAAGCATTGTATAGCAGTTTTTACACCTCACAACGGCACCCGCCAAAAAAGACTGAGGCATGAGAGAAGTTGTGATTTAAAACATAACACGTGATGTGCGCCTCTTGCTGATTGGCTGATGCGGTGCATCTCTTGCTCGCATGAATCAAATGCTACAGTGTAGACTCCAGTGACGAAGTCACAATTACAAATTATAATGAATATTTACAATATCTACAGAAAATGATATAATGCTAAAGTAGTGAAATATAGAAAATACAGTACAATGTAATAAAAATATACTATACATTTTTATAGATTGAAGTAGGAACATATGCGTAATATAAAACGTTAAATATAGTACAAGTTTGTAATCAAGGAATGTAGTGTGTGATTAAATGCTTGGGAAATCAGACCTTGCTCTCACTTAGATGTTTGATTAAAGCACCGTGGGGAAGCAGCTGAAACCGAAAGAGGTAAAGACGCGATATAAATAATGTCACATGGCAGGTGGTAAGGGGCCAGGTTTTACGCGACCAATTGAAACTCTAATACGTTTTCCGTTTGCATGACTAATAGAACAATTCTTATCATTTCTGTCAACGACTAAATGAGCTCCAATATAAGGTGATATCAAAGGAGGATTAACTTTATCAGATCTTAAAAATATATGAGAACATGTTTCTAATGAGGGGTTGATTAAAATTTTGGGACTACCGTGTAGGGCAGTAGAAATAGGATTTAAAGTTATTGTCTGAAGTAAACAGTTTATATAAGCGGAATAAAAGGTCTGGTTTATGGCATCACCCGTTACTATATGAGGGTAATCTTAATATTGTCCCATGAATAAGTTTAACAGAAATTGCTTTGGCATTCTCCTTAATGGCTGAGCGAATGCCTAAGAGGATAAGTGGAAGAGTTTCTGTCTATTGTGCTGTATTATTGCTGTAAGAGCTGTTTTAAGATGCCGTTGGAAGCGTTCGATATTTCCATTTGACTGGGGTTCGAATCCTGTTGCACCCAAGCATGCGAGTATGTTCTCTAAAAAGATTAGATTCAAGATTTTTACCCTGGTCAGATGTAAGTGTATCTGAGCATCCAAATCTGAATATCCAGTCATGTAGAAAGGCATAAGAGACTGTTTCCGCAGTCATGCTGTTGTTGGAATAGCTTCGGGCCATCTTGTGAATCGGTCTATGATAGTCATGCAAAACTGTTTTCCGTCAGATGGAGGGGGAAGGCCTATAAAATCTATAGATGTGTGTGCAAAACGAGCATCGGGATCAGCAAATGTGCCAACAGGTGACAGGTGAATGCAGGGCCCGGACACCCGGACGGCTTAATATGACAAATCGGGTGTCGTACGGTACCCGCACCTATTTAGAACAACACAACCCTGGCGACTTCCTGAAAGGGCTGCATCGGAAATATATTAATAGAGAATATGTGGTATTGACGTGGCCAAACAAGGGCGTGTGCATATATATGTACTTCAGTATACAACAATTAATAAAAAGTTTCATACATAGGTACATTGGTAGGTATAGGTACATTGGATACATATGCATATTGGCCTAAGTGGTTAATGATATAGGCAAACAATAAACACTTATACATTAAAAGAAATGAAACACTGACGCAACTGGCGCAATAATGCAGAAGATGACAATTAATGAATACACGTAATCGTGTGTCATCCTATATGACTATACATAAACTACTAGAAATGATATGCATAAACACATACAAATGATGGCGATAAATGAAAACACATAATCATACATTATTCTACTGGACTATACACATCAATAAAAATGATACATACACACCTATACGTTGACAGAAATGATACACTGAGAATGAAAATTGTGTATCAGTGTGAACGATGACAATTAAAGGTTACACATTTTCGTGTATTACCTTACTTGGCTATACATATATATTAGTACAAAATGATACACTTAAAGACTTATACAGTAATGGAAATGAAATACTGAAAATGGCACTTATACATTATACGATAGATGAATAGAATAATGGAAACACTTGGTAATCGGTGTAATCATCCTAAGTGGCATATAGATACAGTAATAGCAAATGATACACTTAGGTACATTGGAATATAGGCATGGTTACATGTGGAAAGGATAGGGTTGTGGTTAAGCCGAATCACACAAGTCCTGGCCTAATGCCTTGCAGTCTGTCCATAATACTTTTGAGTTTTTTAAGTACCGCTGGTTGGCGAATAAAGAATCTTTTATAGGCTGGATCTGTGTTGTAAAACGGCATGTGCCACTCTCGTGTTAGTGGGCAGAAGGTGACATAATGGTCCGGGCTACCTGGCTGGCCACACACACAGATGTTGGTGTTTGTTATTCTTCGCTCTAGAAAATAATCGGGGAATGGACCATGACCCGTTATAAATCTGGTGATGTGTGGCTGAGATATCTGTCTCTCAAGGCTGACTTTGTGAGCGAATTCGTAGGTCCTTCTTCCTTGCGGAATAGAATTCCACTCTTCCTGCCATTGCTTGAGTGCGGCGTTTAGAACAGCCTTCTTTACATAGGATTTTGGTAATTTTATTGCCAGTTGTTCCGCATCGAGATTGCTCGCGGCTTTTTGGCTAGTAAATCTGCCTCCTCATTGCCCTGGTGTCCAGCGTGTGCTTTAATCCAGAAGATGAGGATGCGTCCTTCGTACTGGTGCAGGGTTTGCTGAATGCGCCCTATGATGGGCGACCTGTGAAAAGGAATTCCGAATTGCATGAATTGCTGACAGGCTGTCGGTGTGTATTTCTGCGGTGGGAGTAGCTAAATTGACTCGCTGCTAGGATTGCCTGGCGTAATGGCTTCGGCTTCCGCCTGAAAGACCGAGTTGCCTGCGCCCAGAAAGCCTTTCCAAGACCCTTAAGGTGCTTCCATTTCGTTTGATGGTATAGCTACAGCCTGTCGTTTTCCATTTCACCTGGGAGCCATCTGTATAAATCTTAAGGGCATTAGAGTGATCGTTGTTGTATTTCAAGCATCGTTGTATAAGCATGGACATTCTTGCAGAAAAGGGCCGGGTGTAACTTCCGCAACTTGTAGATTGTTCTCAAAAGTCCTCCGGTGAGAAATGGAGGTTTCTGGTATTGAGCAGGTTGCTTAAAGGAGAGTGACTTTTGCGATGACCGCTTCCATTTGGGCCGTATGTGCAGTGGAATAAGTCCAGCCAGCACTGTGGCTGCTGCAGTCGCTGTGGTCCTGTAGGCCCTCGTGATGGCCAAAACAAATGGGCGTTGAACGCTGTTCAAAATTTGTTGCTTCCTTGTAGTCATTGGAAGTGCCCATATGGCCGCTCCATAGATAAGTATTTTTTCTGGACCACTGTGCTGTATATTATCTTTAGGATGTGGGGGGCCGGGTGAGCCCCCAGTCTGAGCCTTGCATGCCCTTTATTCGGGGAGGCTATTCTAATGAGCTTTAATGCGTTGAGCTCGCAGATGAGGGAGCCAGGAGAGTTTTCCATCGATTAATAAGCCGAGAAG